AGGTTGTGCCATTAACTGAGGTATCAATTACTAACAAATAACTAAGCATGAGCAGGAAAAAGATATAAAATTAATTTAGGAGGTTGTATTTTGTTTGCTTGTCTGTTGTTTCTTTTATCCATTTTGTAAGATGTGTAGAGATTGAAATGTTATATTCAGGTAGAAATGTCTGGGGAATAGTCTGTATATATGATACCTGAAAGCTATAAGAAAAATGTGAGGTGTAGTTATAGATAATTACCCTGGCCAGTAAGATAAAGGCATGATAGATTTTGAGTAAGTAATACCTCATTAATTCATACCATATTAACTGAGCTCCTAATACATGCAAGACACTCTGCAAAGGCCAGGGATAAACGCTTTATTAAAATACACATGGTCATTGTTTTCATGGTTGGTGAAGGAGTTGAGACACACATGTGCAATTACAAACAATGATAAGGGCTCTAATGCAAAAGGGCAGAAACTGTATACACTTACAGTGGGGACCTAATCATTTCAGAGGGTGAGGGTTCAGAAATTTCCTGAGGAATTGATATTTGTGCTGAGGATGTGTAGGCATTATCTGGCTGGGGATGATAAACGGGTGGATAGTGTGGTTAGTGCTGCACATAGTCCTGCAAACAGTGTCAGTAAAACCCTTAATGTGAGAATCACACAGTGAATACTAAAAACAAAAATAGCATAAAAGAAAGCTGAAATGACTGTGTTTGGGGATAAACAAGAACAGATGCTAGGGAGTCTGGATCCACTCTGAACTCTGGCAGAGAATCTTAAACACAGAATGAATAGTGGCAGCTGCCAGGATGTGAGGGAAGGAAGCTGATATCCTGGGGCCTGTTTTAAGGAGGAAAAGAAGAGAAAAAGTTTCTGAGTTGGGTCTGAAATAGGGTCTGGAGCATACCAGTAGAAACCATGCAATTGTGATCAGTTAAGAAAAATGGAGAATCATTATCAGATCTTAAAATATGTCCTCCTGTTACAGGACAGTGAATGGAAAGGAAATCTGTTTATAGTGGGTTGACAATTGAATTGAAAGTGAGAAGATAACACTGTAAGCAATGCTGTCAAAAAGCTTGAATGGAGAAGAGAGGGTAGAATCTGAGGATGGG